GCTGCGGCGGCTACTGCTGCTGCCCAGCTGCTGCGGCCGCTGCGGCAGCTGCAGCCCTGTTGCTGCTGCTGCAGCTCTGCTGGTGTCTGCGGCTCTCCTCTGCGCGCTGCCCACCTCCCTGCACGAGGCACCTCCTCTCCTTTCCTCTGCCCTGCTGGCGCTGCTGAAGGGGGGGTTGTCAGTGCGGGCTGCGCGAGATTAAGATGGGGGGTGGCCGGCGGCCGCGCTGCCGCCGGTGACAACCCATCCAGGGGCGGGAGCGTCTTGGCGGGGGGGTGCCGTGCCACTGCGAGACGAACGCGCCTGTCCCCGTGAAGGGTGGACAGGGCGCGGCTAGTGCGGCCTCCGTGCCTCACGCAGGGCACCCATGCACAGTACCTCTTGTCCAACGGTCCATTGTTGTTCCTCCTCGGCCTCCTGCAGGGGGGGGGGGGGGCGGAGCCAAAAGCCGCTGAACACAGGTGCACGGTGGGGGGTGGAAAGCTGCGGGGGCACCCTGGCAGTGCGCCGGCACATGTGGACCACGCTGGAGAGGGTGGCGCCGCCGCCGCCGCTGACCGACAGACACGGGATGCAAGAGCACCAGAGCCACAGAGGGCGGACCCGGGACCAGCGGCGGCCACCCAGGGAGCCCGGCGCCAGGATGCAAGCCACAGGAGAACCCGCGAGGCACGCAGTCCGTTCACACTACAGCCGCTAAGTCCACACTTCCAATCACACAGGGGGTGCAGCCAAAAGCCGCAGAGCTCGCACTTTCATCCGCGCTGAGTGTGCCAGCGTCGGAGGCGCCTCCTGGGGGGTACATGCGCCTCCGCCTCTACTCACAGCGCTGAAACTGCGACGGTGGGCGCCGAGACGACGAGCACGATTTGAAGGAAAGGGTGCCTGCGAGAGCCCCAACAGAGATGGGAAGGGCCCCCGTCCCTGCTCACAGCGCTGCAATGATGGCTGGGGGCGCCGAGAAGACGAAACGCGCACGGGGGGGGGGGGGGGGGGCGGAGGATGCACCCCTCCCGCAGGCCGCGTTTTGCGGGGCAGCAGCGGGCCTGCCGCCAGTGACCGCCCTCCGCGCACCTGACCCCCGCGTGTGCGATGCCACGAGGGGGGCAGCAAAGGCTACTGTGGGGCGACGGCCCACTGTTTTTTTTGTTGCGCTTCTTGGGGGCCTGGTTGTTCGGGTGGCCCTTTGCCGCGTGGTGATCGCTGCTCGCCCCGCCGCCCCGACCCAGGCGCAGCTGCCGCGGCCGAGCCCAGTCGACGTCGAGGCCCAGCGCGTCGCTGACGACCCGTGCGTCGCACTTGTGGCTGCGGAAGGATTCCAGGAAGAGGCTGCAGGTTTGCGGGTCGCGCCGAGGCGGGTCGAGCGCGCCCTTGCTGCCGGGCACAGACTGTGCCAGGTGCCAGTGAACATAGGTCCCAATGTGACTTGGAGTCGTCTCATCGCCTCGCCAGGTGTCTCCCCGGGGAGGTCCCACTGGATGTTGTTGATTCCTGTTTTGTACAGCTGTTGCCCCGTGTCAGGGTCCTTGGGCTCTGGCCATTGGCGCGGGTCGGGCCCTTGGTGCCGCCGTGCATCTAGGCCGCAAGTCTCCAACGTACCGGCCTCGTTGTCCTGGCCGGAGGGCTCGCGATCTGCTCGCGACAGCTCCGGCCGCGCGCCTGGCGGGGTTCTGCGGGGAAAAGCAGGCCGCGCGGTTGGCCGCCAGGCGGGGGTCGGATCGCATCCGGCGGCCAAGGCAGACAAAGCCGTGCGGCGCGCGGGGAAGGGCCCCTTTCGCTGGCGTTCGCCTTCGGGCCTGTGCCCGCCGTCGCTCCCAGGTGCGCCCCCTTTGGTCAGCGCGGGACTCTCTCCGGTCTCTGGGGCGTCGCTGGTTGAGCCAGGCGCGCGCGCGCGCGGCGGCGCAGCTTCCATAGCCGGGGCGCGAGCTGCTTTGCCAGTAGTGCCCTGGGCGCCTGGAGAGGGCGCCTGGGTTCGCCGTCCATGAGAAGAGCACTGACAGGGGATGGGGGGCGAATGGGCGCGAAGGGGGTTCTTCCGACGAGCCAGTGGATGGCTTCGCTGTCCTGCGTCTGGATGGTTTTTCCGTGGTCTCCCTGCTGGGTGTGTGGCGCTCCCAAAGGACTGCTGACGGTCTGATTTCCTCTGCCCTGCTGGTACTGCTGAAGGGGGGGGGGTTAGCGTGAGCTGCACACTGATCACTGCAAGCTACCGCCTCTCGATTCCCCTCTGGGACGTCATCATCTGACAACGATGCGGGGGGTGGTGTCGTGACCTCTGCCTCATTTCCTCTGCCCTGCGGGGTGCTGTTGCTGCTGTTGCTGCCCAGCTGCTGCTGCTGCTGCAGCTGCTGCTGGGTCATGTTGCGGCTGCAGCTGCCGCTGCGGCTGTTGCTGCAGCTGCTGCTGCTGCTGCCCTGATGCTGCGGCTGCTGCTGCTGCTGCTGCTGCTGCTGCCCAGCTGCTGCGGCTGCTGCGGCTGCTGCAGCCCTGTGCTGCTGCTGCAGCTCTGCTGGTGTCTGCAGCTCTCCTATGTGTGCAGCCCACCTCCCTGCTCGAGGCAACTCCTCTCCTTTCCTCTGCCCTGCTGGTACCGCTGAAGGGGGGGGTAGTGCGGGCTGCACGCTGATCACTGCAAGCTACCGCCTCTCGATTCCCCTCTGGGACGTCATCATCTGCCAACGATGCGGGGGGTGGTATGTTGCTGCTGCTGCTGCTGCTGCTCTGTTCCGAAATGTCGCTGTGAGTATCGAGGTCTCTCGCGTCAGCGCCAGGGGCCTCAGAGAGAGCCGACCCAAGGATTCCAGAGACGCTGGGCCCAGGGAAAGCCTCCAGGCGGGATCCGGGGGCCTCAGAAGGGACGACGATGCCAGCAGGTAAGTATCGGTCGTCGTCGCGTCGGTCGTCAGCGTCGTCGTCTCCAGGTAGGCGTGCAACCGAGTCGCTGGCTGCACCGCACGTCTCGGAGTCGCGCATCGGATTCTCCGCGCAGCCATCCGCCGTGCAGCCAGCAGGGTCCCAGAGTCCCGCTGGGTCCTGGCGGAGCCAATCTGGCAGTCCTGGAGGATCATGCCGAGGATCGCCGACCTGGCAGGGCGGCCGTTCGCAATGTCCGCCGCGGGGTCGCTGGACGTCAACACCGAGAAGGCGAAGTTGCGCGCAGCAGCCGTGGTGTCCGCGGACTGGTCCTGGGACAGATCGCAGAGAGCACAGTGCGTCGCGATCTGTGCCAAGGCAGCGGCGGGAACCTTCGGGGGCGCAACGAACCCGCGCGGGATGTCCGCGAACTCCAGGCCAGCCGAAGGCGACTTGTGCAGCTTGCCAGCGATGTGGGGCGTGATGTAGCCCATGGTCGCCAGCATGCTCACGCGGCCGTTCTTCAGCTCTGCCTGCCACCGGTGAGCGAGATTCTCCGCGCAGCCATCCGCTGTGCAGCCAGCAGGGTCCCAAAGGCCCGCGGGGTCCTGAACGCCCAGCTCGCTCTCGAGCTTGAAGGCGCGCAGCGGAGATCCAGTGTACAGCGCCCCATCGCCCTGGGCGGAGCCAATCCGGCAGTCCTGGAGGAACATGCCGAGGATCGCCAACCTGGCAAGGCGGCCGTTCGCAGTGTCCGCCGCGGGGTCGCTGGACGTCAACACCGCGAAGGCGAAGTTGCGCGCAGCAGCCGTGATGTCCGCGGACTGGTCCTGGGACAATCCGCAGAAAGTACCGTGAGCCTAGATCTGTGCCCAGGCCGCGGCGGGGTCCTTCGGGAGCGCACCGAGCCCGCGCGGGATGTCCGCGAACTCCAGGCCAGCCGAAAACGACAGGTGGCCAGGCAGCTGCCCAGTGATCTCGGGCTCGATGAAGCCCATGGTCGCCAGCATGCTCGCGCGGCCGTGCTGCAATTCGGTGTGCCGTCGGCGGCGGGCGGATGTGTCCGTGCTGCCATCCGCTGTGAAGCCAGCAGGGTCCCAGGGGCCCGCCGGGGCTAGAGCGTCCAACGAGTTCTCGATGACGCCAGCCGCGGCGGCCGCCGCCAGCGGCCCGCCCGAGGCGGCCGCGGCGGCGGCGGCGGCAGCGGCGGCCGCGGCGAGCGCATCGGCGGGCAGGCCACCGCCGCCAGCCGGCCCAGCTCTCGCAGCCGCACCGGCCCCGAAGGCGGCCGCGGCGGGGAGGCCGGCGGCGGGAGCGGCGGCACCTGCGGCCGCGGCGGCCACTGCGGCAGCCGCCGCACCCGCGGCGGCCGCGGCAGCCGCGGCTGGCTCCAGAGCAGCAGCGCGCGCCACAGCGCGGCCGGCCGCGGCGGCCTCGCCGCGGCCGGCCGCCGCCACGGCCGCGGCGGCCGCTGCGGCGGCGGCGGCCGCGGCGGCGGCGCCGCTGGCCACGCCGAGGCAGCCAGGGGCCACGCCGGGCCGCGGCGGCAGCAGGCCGGCTGGGTTGGCCGCGGCGGCGGCGCAGCTGGCGGCGGCGCGCCGCTGCCGCCGCCGCCGCGCCGAGCGCGACTCCATGGCCGAGCGAGCGGGGGCGCGGAGGGGGGCGAACCCCTCGCACGCCCCCGCGGGCGGGGAGGTCGAGGACCGAGGGGCGGATGCCCGGCCACAGCCGGCCAGCCGCTGAGGCCAGCTCGAGCCAGAGCGGCTTGAGCCAAGGCTACGGGGATGCTCTTTGAATGTTTCACGCTTCGCGTACCCCGACGCTGGTCGGGGAACGCGAAGCGTGAAAAATTCAAACAGGATCCCCGTGGCGGCGAAGGTGAGCGACAGACGCTCGAAAACCTCAGAATTACAGATCCTCGAAGGGCGTCCATCAGAATCCGTTCAAGATCGGGCCTCGGCAACGGGCGTGTAGCAAACGTGGGGTGAAGAAACGTATACCTTTCGTGTACCTTGGGGGGCCAGTGGTGGCAAGTTAGTGGCCGTTTAGGGTCCTTTTAGGCTCGTACGGCCCACGCCCCTCCAGTCCTCGATCCTTTTTTCTGCAGCCTTCGCTGCACCCCCAAGCCAGGTATCGCTTGATGGCTCCCTCGCTCCCGAGCCCCTAGGTGGCTCAATGATGGCCCAAGACGGCCCTACAGCGGAACGGGCAGAATCGCTGAAACGCCCTGCGAGCAGCAGGTAGACGGGCAGTGGCGAAAAACAGGCGGGGTGCGGTGCCGATCATGTATCGCCCTCCTCATTACGCGCCCCCACCACCCCCCCTTTGCGGCCCGCCCGGCAAAACCTATCCCCAGACCCCTTGCGGGGTTCATTATGGTCAGTTCTTTCGAGCCACGTCCAGCTGTGGCTGCGAGCTCCTATGAAAGCTCAAGCAAAAGTAGCCTTGCGAAGGGCCCAACCCTTGGCAGCCTCATGTGACGTTGGTGGTGAAACTCTCGATGATGAAGTAGGGCTGCAAGGATGAGGTAGTTAGAGGAGGGTGAGGGCGAAAGCAAGGACGATGTAGAGGAGACCGAGGAGGACACAAAAAGATCTGTGGAGGTGGCGGCGGAGGTGGCGGGCGTGAAGGGGGGCTCAACCCCAAGCGACACAATCATCTACGAAGACCTCCTGCATACCGTGCTGCTCCAACTTCTGGGGCCGCGGCATGGCCAACGCGTTGTGATAATAAGGCTCTGTATACACGGCCCGTGTGAGGGATGTCCAAACATGTGTGTGTGTGTGGTGGGGGGGGGAGGGGGGGCGCATGCAAATTTTGCATCAGGGGCCGTATGCGAAGCTCCTCGAGAAGCGCGAAGCGTGGCATTGGTACGCCGAAATATGCGGAGAAACGCATGCAAACGTTCCCACCGGGGCCGCAGATGGGAGTCACATGAGAGGTGCGCCGAACGGGGCGAAACTGCACATGCAATATTTCCCACTGGCGGTAGATGGAACTCCGTATGAGTGCGCGATCTTCGTGAGAGGTGTGCCGAAAGGGGCGGCGACGCCAGGCGGACCCTCCTGGGGCACCTCACGCGGCCACGATCCTCGTGAAGAGTGCTCCGACAAAGGGTGGCGCCGCCATGCGGACCTTCCCACTGGGGCCGCGAGTTGAGCTCGCTACGGTCCTCGTGAGGGGTGTGCCGACATGGCGCCACCATGCGGGCCCTGGGGCCGTGGGTGGAGTTCCCAAAAGGGCACGAAGCGTGTGAGCGTTGCGCCGGCATGGGGGCGGTGGTGCCATGTCGGCGCCCACTGGGCACTGGGGCCGCAGGTGGAGCTGTCGAAGTGGCACAGAAAGTGCAAGGGGTAGGCCGAAATGGGCGCGCCGCCACCATACTTCGGCGCCCACCGAGACTGTATGTGCAGCTCCCTATGGGGCCACCAAACGTGCGCCATGCGGTCGCGTCTGCTGAGACCGCAGGTGGAGCTCCTGTGGGCCAGCGTCACGTGTGAGGGGCGTGACGCAGTGGAAATGCGGAGAGCAGAGGAGGGAGGCGGGGGGGGGGAGTGGGGGGACGCGGAGGCGCGGCGGATCCAAAACGAGGACACAGCTCGCACCAGACGGCTTGGAACACTTGAAACGACGAAGTCGGAGTCCTCACTATCCTCAACCATCGAGGGCACTTGCTGCTGCTCATCTCCGACGCGCTGTCCTCGGACAGCGCCCGGAAGACCACGCCTGATGGGGGGACGAAAAGGGGAGTGTGCCAAAAATTCACGTTCCCCACCAGGAATGAAAAGATTGTTGCCTCTTGGGGTCTTCTCGGCGGTCCTCTGGGAACACGTTTAGGCCTTCTCGGGGGCCTTGTGGGCCTTCTTGAAGTCATCTTGGGTCATCGTGGGGCTACTTTTGGCAATCTCGGCGCTCTCTTCGACCGTCTTGGCGTTCTGTCTGCTCCCTCTTGGGGCGTTTTGGAGGCTCTGGAGACCCCGGGAGTTTTTGGACGAGCTCGTACCCCTAAGCCGGGCACGTCCCTCCACAAGAGGAGAATCCCAAAATACTCAAAGAATAATCAGGGGACGACTGTTCTAAAGAAATGATTGTTTATGCGTATGTTTGACTATTTTGGATGTTCGTCCAAAATCCGCCTGTAAAAGGACATGCCCGACCTAATCGTACCCCCCCTTCCTCAAAGGCCATTTCGGCTCCCAAGGGAGGGGGAAGGGCGGAGGGGGACAACCAAACGTCTCACACTCGGCACGCCGCGCACCCCTGTGGCAGGCAACCGTGGGCGGCGGAGGTGGCATGCGGCCCATCCCGCCACCGTGCCTGGGTCATGGGCCAGAGGCGCCTTCAATGCATGTCAGGGTCTCTTCGGACGCCTCCAGGAGCCTCTTGGGACGCCTCCCTCTTGGGATGCCTCTTCGGGGCCGTTCGGAGTCCTCTCGGGGCCCTGTCTGGGGCCTCCTGGGCCCTCTTGAGGGCTTCGGGGGGGCATTTGGGAGTCCTGAAGCATCTTGGTTGTATCGGGTGCCATCGTAGCCCCAGAAGGCTCCGAAGGCCCCTTCTCTTTCCACCTCTTGGAGCCATATTGGGGGGTTCTTGGGCCGTCTCGGGGCCCACCTGGCCCTTGGGTGCATCCTGGGTCGATCTGGGAGCCTCTTGGGCCGTCGTGGAGCGCTGGTCCACCAAACAACTGAAAGCATTACTTTAGGAGTAGTCATGAGCCTCTCTCGGGGCGTCTTGGGCGCGTCGTCTTGAGGCTGCCTTGGGCGTCTTGGAGCGAGCTCGGGGCCGACTCGGGGGCCCCTGAGGCCCACCTGGCCCGATCTGGGGCCCTGCCGCCTCTGGAGAAGCCCCGCGGAGACGCGCGGGACGCCCCAAGAGGTACGGAAGCGCACCCCGGAGGGCCCGTGCCCCCGAGCATTCGTGCACTCGGGACGAGCTGATCTACAGGGCCCGAGGGCATCACACGGGGCTTCCCGACTGCAGCGTATCAGATGTCTGCGCGCACGCTTTACAGGATCATGGGATCGTGCCAGAAGTGGCGCCAGTGCATGAACATGTTCGGCCCGGATCCTGTGCTGCGGCCCAGGGCATGAAAATAGTCGCTCTGATCCCCTCTCACTCCATGTTCGAGGCTCTCCGACTGCAGCGCGTCAGATGCCCGCGCACACGCGTTCCTGCTTCAATAATCGAGTGGTTTCACCTTGTCCTTCCAAGGGGGCGGACGGAACCCAATCTATTTTCAACGCCCTCCTGCTTCATGTTTCCGCCTACCTCTTCCGAGACCTGAGGACACCATTTGGGGTCTCCGACCTGCAGCATGTCAGATGCTGGCGCACACGCTCTTCTGGCATCACACCAGAAGCGGCTTCTGCCACTCGGCCAAGCGGGAGACCATGCGGGGCCTCTTTGGCGGTCCTTGGGGCCTTTCGGAACGTCTTTGGTGCCTCGGGGGAGCCTTTTGGGGCCTCTTGGGGTTATCTTTGGAGCCTCTTGGGGACCTCTTGAGGGTCTCGTGGGGCTTCCTGGGCGCCCCTCGGGTCACTCTTGGGAGCCCTGGTGGCCATTTTGGGGCCGTCTTGGGGGAGACCGATCAAAGAAGGGGGGGTCCCTAATTAGCCTCCCCCTAGGAGGCCAAAATGGGTTCACAACGTTTTAGCAATATCGTTAATTGTTGCCGTCTGGCCGATGCCTTCTTGGACGCCCCAATCGGTAGCGAAACCTCCCGTTCAGGTCCAGGGACAGGAGACGGGCAATCGATGGGCACATACGTAAAACACATCGTATTCGAGCCACAGGAGAAAGCCAATCTATGCGAACACATGGAATAACACATAAGATTCGAGCCACAGGAGAAGGGCCATCGATGGAAACAAATGTGAAACAGAGGGGAATCGAGTCCCAGGAGAGGGGCAAACTACATCAAACACGTAGGAGTCGAGATTCGAGCCACAGGAGAAGGGCCATCGATGGAAACAAATGTGAAACAGAGGGGAATCGAGTCCCAGGAGAGGGGCAAACTACATCAAACACGTAGGAGTCGAGCACCAGGAATGGGTACTCTGTAGGCACCGACTTAAAACACATAGGACTCGAGCAACCCGAGAGGGGCAATCTATAGGAACACGCGTAAACCACATAGAATTCGAGCACAAAAGAGGGACAATACATAGTAACATACGCACAACACATTGGATGCAAGGATCTGGGCTGCAATCGAGCCAGAATATTATAGTGATCCTCGTTTCTGGACCACGTCGACCAAGACACAATAGTGAATCGCATGTCTGGGCGAAATCAACCAAAACACCAGTGAGCGCTGCCGGCAGATTCGAGGCCACACTGCACACCGCCAGGCGTGTGACACGCCTCCTCCGGGTCCATCGTGTGGAGATTCTGCTGGTAAAACCATATATCGAAACGCGAGTAAGGAAACATCGTTCTAACACCACTGAATTTTAAGCGTGTCAGCGCAGAGGCTGGCAGACTTTCTGACGTATTGCGAGCGCGTGCTTCCCGCGCTTGTTTGAGCATTGTCAGCATCGTTGTCATCATCGCCAGGGTCGGCATTGCTATCATCAGCAGCAACATCATCATCATCATCATCATCATCATCATCATCATCATCATCATCATCATCAGCATCGTCATCATCATCATCATCATCAGTATCATCATCATCAACATCATCATCAACAACGGCTACAACGGCATCATCATCAGCATCAACATCATCAATTTCGTTACCGTCATCGTCATTGGCATCCTCATCCTCATCCTCATCCTCATCATCCTCATCCTCATCCTCCTGCTCCTCCTCCTCCTCCTCCTCCTCCTCATCATCATCATCATCATCACCATGGTAGCGTCCCGGTGTTTCGACAGTCGCGCGCGAGAGCGACGTGTGTTTGCGTTGGCGGAAATTCCAGACCAGCCCCAGTAGCGAGGCCAACCCCAACGACGGGTACCCAAAAGGGCCTGTCACGCCGAAGGGGGGCTAAGAGGTATTACCCCTCAAAGGGGGCCTCCCCACCGAAGTCGCCGCGCGTTACATCCCTCGGGGGGCCAAACCTACGCGGGGCCCCATCCCCAGCTCCACCCATGGAGCCCTGCGGACCGCTCGTGAGGGGCCCTGGGTTCCATGCGGCCGGCTGTAAAGGGCGCTCGCATCCCTGCCAACGGCAGGGGAAGGGGGGGGGCAGAGTCCCGATCCTGATCCCTGGGTCAACGCGGCCCTGCAGAGCCAGGCCTCTGAAATTATAATCTCCACACTCCCTGCGGGAGGCCCACAGCTTCTTGCAGCGGGACGGGCGGCGGTCACACCCGACCCCAAGCCGAGACGACGGGAGATGGCTAAAAGCAACTCGTGGGAATGGTCAGACTGGTCACTGAACTCAGACAGCTACGGAAGAAACCGTCGCACTCCCTCTCTCTCACTTTCCCCGCCAAACTCCCGTGATATGAGGTAAACCGAAGAGCGCATTCATCATGGCGCCTTTTTTTGTCCGACTGTCGCGCGCCACAGCGACGCGTGCGCGCGTTGGCGCAAGTATCGGACCTCCCCCAATCAGCGGGGCCCACCCCAGCGACGGCTACCCAGAAGGGCCTGTCACGCAGAAGGGGGACTAAGTGGTATTACCCCTCAAACGGGGTTTCTGCATCGAAGTCGCCACGCGGCACAGGCCTTCGGGGGGCCGAACCTACGCGGGGCCCCGCCCTCAGCTCCACCCGTGGAGCCACGCGGACCGAGGGTGCTCGCATTTCCGCCAACGGCGGGGGGGGCGAAGTCCCGATCCTGATCCCTGGGTCAGCGCGGCCTTGCAAGGCCACTCTGAGGCTGCAACCTCCGCGCTCCACCTGCACCTTTTTCTTTGCTAACGAACCGCGCAAGGTGAACTGGAAGCACTCGCGCCTACGCTGTGGATCGTGCTCACAAGGCTCACCTAGCGCAAAACAAAAACACGCGCGCGCCTCGCGCCACCCTAGGATGGCGAACCAGCCGCTTCGAAAATAACATTATTGAAATTCCGGTGTGCCTCCACCTCTTTTGCAGTAGACGTGGCTCTCTAGAGCTTCACTTGGGTGTCGGTGATATATATATATATATATATATATATATATATATATATATATGTGCGTGTATAGGTTCATGCTGTCTTGATGTTGGCCCATCGCCCTTGTAGGGCGGTCCCGTTGATGCCCCCTTTTCGCCTGGTAGCGATGCGTCGCCCCACCCCTTCCTAGGCCGCGCGGTTTGAACCCGCGCCGCGACGGGCCGAGGGCGCGAAAGGCCCCACGGAAGAGCTCGCGCAACCCCGCGGGGCGCTCGGGCAACCAAGGAGCCCCCGGGCAGGAGCTTCTCGAGAACTCGGGAGCCACTATACGAGGACAGCGTCGTCGACGCTAACCAGTTCGTGCCAATTCAGCCCTTGGCCTGATTTTGCGAGACGAACATCGATGAATGCACTTGTTCCTGCCCCGGCGATCGTGATGTCGCGCTTCCGCGTCGCCGAGACCTCGCCCGTTCGCAGCCCTCAGTGAAAAGCCACTGCGACGGCGAGCGCAGAACGCGGGTGCCCCGCCTTGAAAATTATCCCTGCGATTGCCGGCGTCCCCGACCCCAACCTTCCAGCGGAAGGCGCGCCTCTTTTCGCCTCGCACCCAGTTGACGCACTTGGGGTCGTTCCACTGCTTGAAGAAGGCCTCGGAAGCAGCGGCAAGACGTCTCGCCT